AAAAAAAAAAAAAAAAAAAATGTGTTAGTAACTAGTAATGTCCTTGATTGTTCAGCCAATCAAATTTGGTTTGGTAGAAAAGTAGCCACACAAATTCCTCTCACAACCTGTATTTTAAGCCCAAAATTAATACCACAAGCACAGAATAAGGCAACCCCCCACCCCACCCTCAATGTTTTAACACTACTCAAAGATGGGGTTCAGGATTGAGGTGATCACTTGGGTATTTCAACAAGTGGCCAGTTCAGAGGGTCTCCTAGACTCCTACTTGGTGGATCACATGGATCAGCTACATCATCCTTCTACAAGGCACAATGGCAGGTCATACTGGGAAGCTCCCTACTTCACCCGATTCAAGTAACTTATTTCCTTCATACATTGTCTATAACATCCATAATGTCCTCTTCCAAATTGAAATCATATTAGAGTGATCTGAACTAAACAGGTAGTAAGGAATTCTCGATCTCAATCTGGATCCATGTAATCAGTGGATTATTTGTGCAAAATCCATTGACACAGTAATGGACTTGTACGTACCTATTGCAATGGCAAAAAAAAATGGTTTCGTTTTTTTCTTTAGTATCGGACCGTTTCGGGTATGTATCAGCTGATACAACCTAAAACGGGCTGATACATATTATGTATCAGTCAATTTTAAATTCCCTCTTTTTTTTAAATTTAATTCATCTCTTTTCTCTTTTTTATTAATATCAATTTTAATTAAGCCTTTAAATTTGAGACGCCACTAAATACTAATATTATTTAATTAAATACTCATTTGAGTTACCTTTAATTAAGGCATTTAATATGTCATTAAATGCTATTTAAGTCAAATAACTTGTTATTAAATTGTATACATAATAAATAGGGTAAATCTCTTAAATTACCTCTACTATTTGTGAAATTGACTAACGGTACCCTTACTGTTTGAATATTGTCTAACGCTATCCCTATTGTTACTGACAATTGACTAGCTCTACCCCTATCGTTAATGCTCTATCATGATCTATGCACAGGTGACCCCACATGACTTATAAATTTTTTTCAAAACCTAATATTACCCTCATCCCCTTCATCCTCTCTCTCCCCTTCATTTTCATGTTGGGTTCACGCACAGTAACAGGACATGACACCGAGCTCGTGGTGTCGTTCTTTTCCTCCCCCTCCATCGGGTAAAGGCTCTAAGAAAACATGGGTTTACGTGGTTGTTGGAGTTGCAGCCAGTTTATTTGTGCTTATTGCTGTCTTGGCCGTTGTTTATTATGTTGTCTTACGAAGAAGAAGTCAGAGACGCCCAATTGATTCTGTTACTGTCACCGATTCATTCAAGAAACCCCTCAAAGGTAAGTCAGAGGAAGAATCTGAGGAGTTTCTTAACAGTATATCTAAGATTGCTCAGTCCCTTAAAGTTTAAAAATATGGAGAACTTACCCGGATGAAAATGGATTGATGGAGAACTACGATCTGCAATGGAGAACTTACCCGGCTGAAAATGGATCGACTCCAGTGAAATTGGCGTGGTCTCCGGCAACACCCTTGCAGCCAATGAAATTGATGAATTGGATTGCTATATATAATTTACCCGAAAAGAAATGCTGAAAATGGATGGAAATAGATGGTGGCTCACATTCCATACTTCCATATGATGCGGTCCATTCACAAGGCACCTTCAAATTAGTGTTGCATTATATTATACGCATTAGAAAGATGGGAATAAAAAGGAACAAGAGGGCACTCAACGTTGATCACTTGCAATGAGGCAATGAGCCAGGAGGGAATACAAAACGTAAAATGTGATTATAAGTTGTAACTCTGAAATACAGCATAGACATTTGAAGATCAGTAAAATTGAGAAGAGCTAATCCTGAAAATTAAAGCTAAGACCCCATTTCCTACGAAAACTAGTTAATCTAACATTTATGTATGGTTCTTGCTGAAATTCTACCCAAATAGGGTGTTTCTTAGTTCCAAATTCAATGATGTAGCTAAGATTTTCGATAGGGACTTCTCAATCTCATCCATCCCAGGCCGATTGGCTGGATTCTTCCTTAGGCAGTTCTAAGTCAATCTGACCATGAGCAGAGCAAGATCAAATGGATAATTGGCTTGCAGAGATGGATCTACAAACCCTTTTAACTTTTCAACTGCGTTTTACCCATCGAGCATGGCTAGTAAAGCATCTGATTTGGCTTTTCAGACTACCCATCTAGGTCTGAAACCAGTTGATGAGAACACGGTTAAGTTTTTAATTTTTGGGTTTGCATTTAAGTTGGAGACCATTTCAATCCATCTCCAAAACATCATTTCGTTTCCTTCAATTGGGTTTTATTTTGAGGAATAGTGGAGGGCAAATTCGACACTTAAATTCTTTCCAATAGCACTTAACTAATAAATGACTTCACAAAAATATTAACTTATAAATATATATATATATATATATATACACACATTTTAGTTCTATTATTTTTCAACAATTACTAGTTATATCCCGATACTTTATATAAATCATTAAAAAATGGTTTTTATATTTAAATAAATTCGTTATAATCACATAAAACTCATTTTTATTGTTTATATTTTTTTAAGGATTTTTTTAGATTTTCTAGTGTATCCCTGCATATCTTGATTTTTCGTTCATATCTATGCGTTTCCAAAGTATATCTCGATACATCTCTTAAAATTACCTTTCCGATACACCTTGTGTTTCCAATACTTTGAACCTTAACCTCATTGAGTGTATCCCTTGCACGGCCCTGATTAAGAACTAATATATCCACCAAGGTTCCTCGTGGGCACACAATCGCTCATAGAGACATTGCACGGACCGGCATTGCACAAGACGCATGAAAAGGAAACTTTACACGTAAATCTTGCCTAATTGAACTACCCCATTGGCCAAGCACACGAGTGTATTCACAAAAGCCAACAGTTACTCACACATCATTGGCACAATCCCTTGTTAGCACATAAGCAGCATTTCCTATGAACCTGAAAAAATCACACACGAACTCCGACCATGCACAATCAGGTCATGATCCAATGTCACTCACACTGATGGAGCCATTCAACGGATAGACACATGACCCATACACGCAAAAGGCTTAACCTGACCGCACAGGCCCAGACATCGCAAGAATTTCTTCTCATACAAGAGCTTACCCCGTGACATGTGGCACTCAAAGTCTTCTAAGTTTCATCCTACAAGGAAATCATTTCAATTCACACCTTTAAAGGTGAATCTCAATTTCAGAGGATGATCAAGTTTCATTCTATTTCTACGAGGAAACCTTTTTCTAGATTTCGTAGAGAACAGTTGGACCGCCGTCTCTACTTGCAAGAAAATAGGTCCAAAAATCCACCATTGTTTTCCTGCATCAATTCAAATGCCCAAAACGACTGCTTGCATTTTGGTTACCAAACAAAATGGGCGCAAATGAGTCTCATAATCCAGTCCCCATCATCTACACCGGTGCGGGATTGATTTCCACCGTACATATTTGCATTTACACCACCCAACGCAGCCCAAATATCAAATGAGTTCTGAGTGCTATCCAATTGCACCAAGCAGAGCATGATACCCATACATAACAGCGTGACCGGCGCCACAATACTTGAACAGTACGAGATATTAGCAGCATCCAGCATGACTTGATCCCTTCCTGCTGTTAAGTTAGTTATATTATTGGGCTATGAATCCACATTTGATAAGCTCAGGATAAACAAAACAAGGGAAAAAAAGTACGCATGCTAGCCCAGTAAAACTAAAGTCAACAGATGTAACACAGCAATTCAAGGTAGAGTTGTGTCTCAAATCCATCAAATAGAACGTTACAGATAGATACGAGACGCAAAGACAGGTTAAGAAAAGGTGGTCTCTCGTTCTAAATTTTCCTTGAAAGCAACCATCCGATGCTTCTCACACAGGGAACACCATTCAGGAAAAGTGGGAATGACGGAAAGGCGCATATCAATATGAATCTTTCCTCCCAGTCCGAATTGTCAGTCAGCGGTAGGTAGGTGCTCCTGCAAATGAATAAATCGAGGAAACGGGCACATGTTCCCCCACCAAACTAGCTCTTCCCGATACTGGCCTCTGCATAGAAGCAGCATATACATGGTGCGCATCTTCATAAGCCACAGCCTTCCGGCGAGAAGTTGTCCGGAATGGTGGTCGCAGATCTTCAGAAGCATACAAGGCAGATAGCTGTGGACGTGATGATGCCATTGCATGATGACCAGTATACTCACTCTCTAAGAGAGCAGGTCGATCCCGTGGAATCATCTCCACTGCAGTCCCATACCTGGTATGGTAGTAAGACAAAAATTGGCCAAAAATGATTTAGCAAGTACACAGAATCCAAAAGGAAGCACAACATGTTACAAGCAGATTGTATCCAACAACTTGCAACCTAGAATCTGCAGGTGCTTTGCTCTATGGTGGCATAGTGAAGCAAAATGCCACATATTGGAAAAAACTAAAACTCGGAACCCATCAATCGTTTAGGAAAAATAGACTACAAGTACTACCTGCTGTATCGGTTCGGTGCAGGTAGAACTGGGTTTTCAGGCATGTAACTTGGATGATATTCTGCAGAATAATAAGGATCAGCATGAGGCATTGGGCCTATAGGCTGAACATGTCTGAACTGAACACTTGGTTGGGGATGTTCCACGTATGCAGCAGATACATATCGATCATTTCGTGGGGGTGGATCCATTGCTGGAGCACGAGCAACTGCTAGAGTGCGACCAACAGGTGCTCTATTTGCATATGGATCCTCCGCAGTGCGGCGAGTCCTCGCTGGCTTTCTGCGGCGATCCACCCTTACTGGAGGAGAGTCAGCCTGTGGAGGGGCCAGAGGGGCTGGACTAATTGCAGAAATTGGGAGGAACAATGAAATCAGATTTTTTACCTGCATTGTGAGTGCCATCAAATGAGAAGCACCTAGGCAAAAGAATTGTTTTAAAAGATGAAGATCTGAGGAATGGTGCCAAGATGTCTTGATACACAAGGCACAAACCTCAAAGACGAGTGCAAAGTTCATGACTCATGAAGCCTTTTTTTCTCTATTTACCAGAAAACCTTTCAAAGCTGAATTAGAGTATTATATCACCCATGGGTATGCGAATGAATGAACATTAGCTCTTGGAGCTTCGGTAAGCGAGCAAGCCTGAGCGAAGTAGAATCACCTACTGGTTAATGTTTTTTTTTTTTTGATAAATCACCTACTTGCTAATGTTGTCCATTCATTCTTCTTAATACAAGATATGTTTCAAAAGACAAGGCACAAGGCGCACCAGCTGCACATCTTCACACACCAATCACACATCTTTTCTTAAGGCAACAATCTCAAGGTACCATGTATGAGAGGGCAACAACCAATGTTGGAACAACAGTGGGACAGAATTTGGATTTTACAGTTAGAACTACAGGGGGGTAACTGAGGAGGAGGAAATCATTAAGGTGTTTGTGGATCATTTTACAGGTATTTATGTTTGTGGATCATTTTACAGGTGTTTATATGCATCCAGGAGTGAGAGATCTGACTCTTCAAAATCTGGGTTGGGAGTACCAGAAGCCTGGTTTAGAGAGGCAGATTTTTCAATGGAAAGGTCCAAAGACCCAAGGCTGGATGGCTTCTCCATGGCCTTCTTTCAGGAATGTTGGGATATATCAAGGGTGATTTGTTAGGGGTTTTCAATGAGTTCTATCAAGATGGAGAAATTTCTCGAGGAATAAATTCAACCTTCATAGCCCTAATCCCCAACAAAAAGGAGGCAAGAGCACCAATAAGCCTACTAGGAAGCATCTACAAAATCATTGCAAAAGTATTAATTGGAAGACTAAAGAAGGTGTTACCATTGGTAATCTCACAATATCAAGGAGGCAAAAGAGAGGACAAGGATTGGTGTAAAATGGAAAAGAAAGCCTACAACTTTGTTGATCATTCATTTCTTCTGGAGATTCTAGAGAGAATTGTCTTGGAGGAGAGGTGGAGATTGTGGATTAAGGGATTTTGAGCTCAGTACACTACTCAATCTTCATAAATGGTGTGGCTAGAGATTTCTTTCTAGCAATAAAAGAGGTCTGAGACATCGTGACCCCCTATACAAAATTTTGGCAAAGGTGCTCTCTGGAACGCTTAAAGGTGTGCTTCCCTCTCTTATTAGTTAGGCGCAAGGGGCCTTTCGACAAAGAAGGCATGGAACTGATCAAATTTTGATAGCCAATGAATGTGTGGAGGATAGGTAGGAATAATCTCAAAAGATGATGTTTTTAGTAGATTAATCTCAAAAGTTGATGGAGAGGAGGCTTTTAGAGGTTGGAGAATAGGTAGGAATAATCTCCCGATCACCCATTTCCAATTTGCCGATGATACAATAATCTTTTGTGAAGGGGACGATTTAAGGAGGGTGAGTAATCTTAGGTCTCCCTCTAGGTGCAAATCCTAAAGAAAGTTGGTCCTAGACTCRTGTTTTTACTAGATTAATCTCAAAAGTTGATGGAGAGGAGGCTTTTAGAGGTTGGAGAATAGGTAGGAATAATCTCCTGATCACCCATTTCCAATTTGTCGATGATACAATAATCTTTTGTGAAGGGGACGATTTAAGGAGGGTGAGTAATCTTAGGTCTCCCTCTAGGTGCAAATCCTAAAGAAAGTTGGTCCTAGACTCATGTTTTGGAGAAATTTGAGAAAATGTTACATTGATTAGGCCACTTTAACCAATTTACCGGTCTATTTTCTTTCTCTTTAGAATCCCCCACTAGGGATGCTAATATATTAGAGAGCAAGATGAAGAATTTTCTTTGAGAGCCCAGGGAGGAGAAAAGGTATCAATTGGAAAGTTGGGATTTAATTTGTAGGAACAAAGAATAGGGTGGCCTAGGTCTAGAAAGTAAAGTGTGCAAGAATATGGCTTTGTTGGGTATATGATTGTGGAGGTGGCCCAAGGAGAGAGGGTCCTTGTGGCATGAGGTGTTTGGTTTTATACATGGATGCTTGGAGAATGGTGGCAATCTCAAGGATGCTCCCCCAATCCTCCTTTATATTAGGCAGGATGCATGTGGTGGGAATTTAGTATAATCCAGCCCTCAAGGATTCGTTTCCTTCTCTCTACTCAGCTCCCTTGCAAATAAATGCATTTGTTGCTAGGTGTCTTTCTTATCCTATCCCCCATGATTCTTTGAATTGGGAATTTGAGTTCAAAAGAGGTTTAAGGGAGGAAGAATTGTGTTATAGATCTCATGCTTCTTTTGGGCAATGTTTGTTTGAACCCTCTTAAGATAGACAAAAGGATTTGGTATCTTTTGCATAAAGGCTCCTTTCCATTGTTTCTCATGGAATACTTCCTAACAAAACACAGAGATCTTAAGGGGCATGGGTTTAGTCCAAACTTCCTTTTCAATTGCTTCTTCAAAATTCATTGCTCGTCCTCTACCTCTTTACCTTTCCCTACAAAGGAAGTTTGGACTAAACCCATGCCCCCCAAGATCTCTGTGTTTTGGTAGGATGTATTCCATGAGAAGTTTTAACATTTTGACACAATGTAGAAGAAAAGGCCTTATTTGTGCTTATCCCCAGACTAGTGTAGTATTCTTTCTACAAATCTAGTGGTAAGGATTGTTACCACTTGTTTTTATCATGCCCTTTTGTTGCAGCTATCTAGTATTGGATTTTTGCCCTCTTTGGCTGCAGACAGTATTTGCCCTTTCTTAGTTGCTCGAACCATCAACCATTGTTTGGCATTCAGAAAGAGGAAAACTGATAGGAAGGTGTATTAGGGCAGCCTCCTTATGGACTAATTGGGAGGAAATACTAGAAGTTTCCAAAATAAGGAGAGAATCCTTAAAGAGGTCAAGGATTGCATTTTTACAAGGACAATACACTAGCTCAGAACGTCAAATTTATTCCAATCATTTCTTGTGATGACTTCTAGAGAAATTGGTTAGCAATGGCTAGTTCTTCCTCAAAGAAGAGTTATGTTGCGGATTAGATCCCTCCTCTCGAGGGTTTTGTAAAATTGAACTTTGATGGGAGGCAATCATGGTAACCCTGGCCCCCTAGCATAGAAGGCCTCAAAGAAGAGTTATGTTGCAGATTGGATCCCTCCTCTCGAGGGCTTTGTAAAATTGAACTTTGATGGGAGCAATCATGGTAACCCTGGCCTCCTAGCATAGGAGGGGTTTTGAGAGATAAGGTCAGCACTGTTTTAGCCTTGTTCTCAGGCCCAATGGGTTTGGGAAGGCTTCAAATTCTTCAAGAAACTTCAAAGGATCAAAGCCACATAGAAAGCAAGGATAAGGATGTGTTTGGATATAAAGAGGAGAAAGCTAAAATATTTTTTTAAGAGCAGAATAGATGTATAATAGATGGATATAAAGAGTACATCAAGCATACAAAGGACTCTCGATAGAAATTCCATTGGCAAGGAGCAATCACTACACATAAAATCCCTATAAATCCCAGATTTAACTAGACCATCTACCACTACATTCAACTTCCTAGGTTCCATAATATCTCTAACCTCGAAAAATTTTGCATGCCTCCAAGGGCCACCTTCCTTCTCCCCTAACCGTTGAATCAAATTACGAAGAAAGCCAAAAAAATATTGAATCATATTGAGGAAGTTCATAAGGAGAAGGGAAATATTCAAAAAGGGGTAGTTTAATGAGAGAAGTGGAAGAGATATAAAACAAAGAGAAGGGATATCGTGGAGACCAAAAAAAACATTTAGGTGCAAATGGATTAAAGGAGATGGGAACTGGTCAAGAGGAAATAGGAATAATTTCAATGGATCATTTTAAAGAATTAAATGTACACCCTACTAGCTAGATAGCTAGTTATAAACATGTCCAAAAAATGAGAATAGATGGAGTAGATGGTGCAACTGGATGGATGGTTTTGGGGAAGATGGTGCAAGTGGATAGATGGTTGTCTGATGTCTTGCCATTACTCAATTTTAGTAAATGGGGTAGTAATGGATTTTTTTCCCTATATGTAGGCCCCTACATTGTCCCCTTTCCTTTTCACATTGGTTGTTGATATTTTTAGTAGACTTTTGTCAAAAGCAGACAGGGTTGGATTGATAAGAGGATGGAGATTAGGAAGAAATCAAGTTTCGGTTACCCACTTTCAGTTTGTAGATGATATCATAATCTTTTGTGAGGGATGTGATTTGTTGAGGGCAAGGAATCTGAGAAATCTAATAACCCTCTTTGAGAATGTCTCAAACCTGAAAATAAATCTTGGGAAGAGTTGTGTGGTGGGGCTAAATGTGGAGGGAAGGGAGTTGGAGTCTATTGTTGCCTGCTTGGAATGCCCTATTTCTGCTTGGCCCTTGACCTATCTAGGACTTCCCCTAGGTGCAAATCCAAAGGAAAGTAGGTTTTGGATCCCGGTGGTAGAAAAGTTTGAAAATAGAATAGTGACCTGGAAAAAAAACTATGTCTCCCTAGGGGGTAAAATAACTTTGATTAGGGCCACACTCGCAAATTTACCCATCTACTTTTTGTCTGCTTTTAGGATACTTGTTAGGGAAGCCAAGAAGATAGAAAAGTTGATGAGGGATTTTTTGTCGGAACCAGGTGTAGAGAAAAAAGATCATTTGATTAGATGGTGGTGAGTCGAAGCAAGGAACAAGGGGGCTTAGGGTTAGGGAACCTAGTAAATAAGGATGAAGCTCTTTTAAACAAGTGGTTATGGAGGTGGCCTCTAGAAAGAGAGAGATTGTGGCATGAGGTGGTGCTAGTATCCATGGTTGTTCTAAATCTGGTTGGGATGTCAAGGTATCTCAATGGGCCACACTCACTACACCTTGGAAGGCGATTTTTGGCATCCTCCTAAAATTTCTCAAGTTCGTAAGGTATGATGTCTGCAATGGTAATTCTGTGCTTTTTTGGGAAGATGTTTGAGTGGGCAACCAACCATTAAAAGACCTCCCTCCCTTTTTTGGGTTCTGCAAAGGGTTGAGGGATGAGGAATCGGTTTCTACCTCTGAGCCCTTACTTTTACTTGATTTTGTTTGTTTGGACCCTCCTAAACCAGATAGAAGAATTTGGTCTTTGACCTCGAGTGGCTCCTTCTCTTGTTCTTCCTTCTTTAAGTCCCTTTGCCCTACTCCTTCCCCTTTGTTGTTCCCAGTAAACGAATTCTGGTCAAGGCCAATTCCACCTAAAATTGCTGATTTTTGTTGGGAAGTGTATTATGGTAAAATTAACACTGTGGACAATGTACAAAAAAAGAGACCTTATTCATGTTTGTCCCCCAATTGGTGCATTTTATGTAAAGTACAGAATGAGGATTGTTATCACCTACTGATTTACAGTAAATATTTGGAATTGGGTTTTTAGGCTGTTAGGGTACAGGTGGAACTTGCCTCCTGAAGTAAATTTGCTTTTTGATCCATCTTTTTTTGGTTGGCCAACCAAGAGAGGGAAAGTAATGTGGAAATGTATTAGGGCAGCCCTCTTATGAACCATTTGGGAGGAAATAAATGCTAGAACTTACCAGGAAAATGAGAGAAGCATTGTTGAAATAAAGGATTGTATACTGACAAGGGCAATCCTTTGGCTAAAAACTACTAATCTCTTTGCGGATTACTCTAGTGATGACCTTCGAAGGAGTTTGGCAGCAGTGGCCTCCACATCATCCAAGAAAGTAATGGGACCAGTCAAGGCAATCCAAGACCTTTGGGTATAGGAGGGATCTTGAGGAATAAGGATGGCAACATTTTGTCCTTATTCTCAGGTCCAGTGAGTTATGGAGACTCTACAACTGCTGAGATATTAGCTGTGGAACAAGGACTATAGATTTCCAACCAACTTGGAGTAATAATTTGATAGTTGAAGAAGACTCTAAGGTGATAGTGGGATGGATGCGGACCCAGAAACTGTTGTTTGGGGATAATAGGGACATCATCAAAAAAGTCAAATGGCTTACGAGAACCATGTCAGTTAGCTTTCAGTGGGTTAGTAGATCGGCAAATGCTTTGGAAAATTCTTTAGCTAAATAAGGGGCTTCAAGGGATTCTCTATTTTTGGCTAATTTGTAATTACAATCTGAAAAGAGTTGGGTTCAGAACCACCTTTAAGGGGAGGTAACACCTCGTGCCTCCTCTTAGGGTGCTTCATGCTTGTACTATTTCTATCTCTATTTAATAAAATACCATTCATTCATCAAAAAAAATGAGAGTAGAAAACTGGATGAGTGCAAAAACAAAAAGAAAAAGAATAAGAAGTAAGCATATTCAAGAAAGTCAAGGAATAGCCCGATAGGTGATAGGTGATAAAATTGGAAAACTAGACTAAGATGTCAACTGCATAGACAACCATTTACTAAGTAAGAAGCGAATTGTTGCAAAGTTGAAAGGACTAGAGGACCAATATAAAGACAAAAAAGGACATGAATTATGGTAGTGAAAAAAAAATCACAGGCCCATAAAAATGAATGTGGCATTAAAAAACAATGAAACAGCATAACAAGATCAGTGTGGCCAAACTTATAATTCAAGCAAGGCTTTGTTGAATTACTATTTAGCCATCATATACAAAATATCCTTACCCCTTGTTCAAATGGATATCAACATTGCCATCTTCATTGAAAATACCCAAGCTTATGAGGTACAAAAAGAAGTTGGCTATATTTTTCCGCAGCCTTAACATTTCCTTCTTTATTTTTTAAAATATGATCTTTGAACCCCATGTTGTGGTTGTGTTCCCTACTTACATGTTGATTGTCGGGAGCTTGCATTTCTCATGACTTCAATATTTATTTGATAAGGCATGACTTAAATATTATTGCATACCTTAACCATGCAAGTAAAACAACTGGAGACCATATCTTAACTTCAAAGACACTTGTGAGACAATCTTACCTGTCGGTTACTAAGCTCTTGTTTGAATCTTTTTCCTTTGTAGTTGTCCTTGATTACTTGTTTGAAAGCACTCTCTGGAAGGGGCAAAGAATCCTTCAAAATCTTGAATCTTACCTGCAAAAAGAGTGTGGCCTCAAGAAGCACCCCAAAATGTTCAACACATCAACAAAGCTGAAATATGTGACCACCATGATTGCCCAATATACCTCCATACTAAGAAGCACAGCCAACAATATCATTTGTAACAATCTTTGCAACAACACAACTAAAATTTAAAAAACACATTGCCCAATTGTTTGATGGATAATGAGCAATGCCTCTCAAAGATATTTGATAAACTTCATAAGAAGTTAAATTGATAATACTGAATTGATGGTGAACTCATGTAACCAATGTTTTCAACCTACAACTTAACCAGCCGGTCGAACTATTCCACCTAGTATAAGCAAGGGGACTCCAATGAGGGATGGTGTCCAAACCTTTGAAAGGTTCGAGAAAAGTGGCAAAGTAAATCAAAAAGGGGGAGAAGAAAGAGAGACAAGGAATAGGTTGACTCCTCAAAGGGGCTACTCCAACGAAAGATCGGACCGCCGTTGTTCGCCAGTTCTTGAATGTTAGAGGCAAGAAGTCAAAGGCAATTAAAAAGAGAAAGGAAGTCTAAGGATTCCTTTACAACCAGTAACCAACCAGTAAAGGTTTGGTTTACAACCTCAAGTCAGACCGAGACATGGGTTCCAATTGGGTTGACTAGGTTTATTGCCTTTTTATAAATCTACCATCTTAATCTTAGCATTGGGGGTACAAGTTGAGTACCTAATTTTAAAATTGTACATTGTATTGGGTCCAAGTTTTCAACTCAGGCCTATTCAATTATTGAAAACCAAAGCCCACCCAAGTTACACTCTTAACCTAGCACCGAACCAACTTTCCTAGTCAACTTCACACCCAAAGTGCTCACTTGCAAAAAATAAGTAATTGACTTGCTCAACAATCCACTAACATGTCCAATTAAGCAACCAAACCATTTAACCCAGCCAAGAGTCATAAATTAGCACAACTAACTCCCAACCAGTAAATTACAAAGAAAGAGGAATTAAAAATTAACCCAAAACAAAGAAACCCTATTCACCCCATGCTTGGCTAACCAATTGGCAAATGAGTTCACATTTCTTTTCACCCAACTATAGTTCCGCTCAATGTCCCTAGCAAGTCATTTTAATTTTTTCCTTTCATTGCTATAGCTCCACATGCTATTGTTGTCTTCCTTTAGCCATCTAACCATCACCTCCAAATCACCTTCAAGGACCAATCTTCTAATGTTCAACTCTCTTGCTTTTAAGATTCCTTCCAGAGCCACAAAGATCTCATCCCTAAGAGAGTCACCTTCTCCATTTGGGCTTGAAAACACACCCCAATCCCATAAGGCCTTGGATTCCTTAAACTACTACCATCAAAATTCGATTTTAAGAATCCAGAGGATGGGATAGTCCAAGAGGGCAGAGTTAGCTACCCCTTTCCAATTTCTAAGCAAGTCAGCCATGGAAAAATCTGTGAAAAGATCTAAAGATTTCAGCCAGTGGACCAACCTTATTTCGGCAAAGTTAGCTATCTCTTTTTAGCCATTTCTGTCATTAATAACAATAATTCTCATTTGTCACACTACTACCATCAAAACATTCTTTCTACTAAATATAACAACTTAATAGTGTTAAAGATATGCCCAAATTGTTTGCATTCTTTGCAAATTTCATAATCGTTCTACATTTTATATATTTATATACTTTTATTTAATTTATAACATCACAAGCTAAACCATTTAACCAAAATGGTTGAACTACTAACACACCACTCGAACACAAAAGCAATTGAGTTTCCAAGGTTTTAAAAGCATTACATATAAGCAAGTCGAGCCTACTCACTAGCTACTTGGGCCCAACTTTCTAAATACTCAAACTTGGTTCAACCAAATTTGAACTTCACTATACCTAGCTCTAATGGCTTGCCAGCCTAATCGAGCTTATAAAATAACAATTAACATATTTTTTGATAAATAAATTATGTTTAATATATTTGTATTTATGATTTAAATAGATATATTTTCATAATATATCTTCATATAATATTAATTTATATATAGTGTTTAATATATGTTCAAGTTTTCTAATATATTTTTATTTTTAATTTTGTTAATATGTATACTATTAGTTTATTTATTATTTTGAACACTAATTTATTTATGATCGAGTCCCCTCGAGCCAAGCTCAAGTGAGCTTGAGTACCTCATGAGGATAGACTCGAGCCAAGTTCAAGCTCGAAACTTGAAACCCGCTTAATCTCAAGTCGAGATAAACTATCAAGCTCTATGTTTTGAGATGAGCTCATGCACAATTGATACTCAACAAATACAATCATCCTCATCCCAATCCATTGATTGGACAATTACTCCTTAGGGAATGATACAAGGCATAAGCGATAAGCAAAGAAATAGAACAAAAACAACGCAAGGGATGGCATCTAGCCCTCTCAAGGAGATGTTACCTACAGACACCCTTCCGAGTCTACACCAAACAAGAAAGCAAATGGTGCTCATAAATCTACAATTCTTTCATTGCACTTAGAAGAGCAGTTAAATGGCATATTTACAAAAATTGAAGATATCTATTGAGATAAACAAAATATTCACATTCATAGAACATTAATATTAAATAGAATAATTGTAACTAAAGAAAATTATAAATGTCATATCAAAGAAAATTCTCCAACAAATATTGATAATCTTGTAAAGTTTTGAAATGGTCTACCATCTTGTGGAACCCATACAAATCACCTTTGGACTCGGTGGCTAGGTATGTAGTCAAAACATACAAGTATCGGTCTGATTCACATTGTCCCACAAAGACTTGATTGATGGACCATCTTGGAACATGTTTTGGAGGCCCATTACCACCAAACAAGTGTGGATGAAAACATGAATTCTTTTTTTTTTATAATTGACATGAACTCTTCTTTCTTAGCTTATAGACCTTCATCACTCTCCTCTTATTGAAACTAACTCGACTTCTAGATTTGTAATGGGGAATAATCCCTTCTTGACATGAACCTTGGTTAGGGAGAGTTTCTTCATCTGCTTTATACAATTTCCAAACTGATTATGGGTGTAAGAATTATTTCCATTGTATAAAAGGAGATGGAGTCTCAATTGAACCTCATGGTATGATCTGCTCACTTCCATTCCACTTATTTCACTCTTCTCCACTCCTCTACTGCTCCTTCTCTTCTGCTGAAATGTCTTTCTACAATCAAAACTAAATAGTTTTTTCTTGATCTGAATCTGTTTTATTGATTGACGACTAGGTATGCAATTGAAACATATCCCCAGGCTCTCAACGTGACCAGAGCATTCCAGTTAAAATTCGAGGGTAATTATCTTTTTTTAAAAGTATTGGAGAGTAATAATCTTAAACAAGGGGAGATGCTTTATTTCGCATACTAAAGTGAAGTCTCTATGACGGTAGATAGATTGTTTGGAGACTTTTTAACCATCTTGTTCTGATGATTTTAATAATCTTTATCATCATGAAAAACACACATGAGACATGCTAGAAGCTTCACTCAGTCACCCTTATCTTTTTTAGATACTTTTTTTAATGCAAGGGGCTACACAATGGGGGTAGCCCATCCCCCAACCCAGGTGCAGGTGGGATTCGATCCCAAGTCTTTGCTACGACCAGCAAGAGAAGACCTTACCAACCAGCCGGTTGGCACCTTGCAAGCTTCACCCTCATCTTAGACCTCAGAGATTCAGGAATAACAAGGGGTCTGCTACTATTGGTTTTTTTATGAATGGGTCTTCCAATATTGCATATGTTTGGTTCCGTGGGAGTTTCTTGAGAGGCATTTTTTAGATAAACATTTATCTGAAAAACATCACTTTAAACGTTTTTTGTTTTTTCTATTTGGTTGGACATTTTATGAGCATTTCAAGTAACATCGCATAAAATTGCTTTCCACCTCAAATAAAGTGCACCACATCAGCATTTCATCTCAAGGAATGCCCGAGCAATGGGGGAAACACCAAATGCCCCATGCACATTGGTGTTGCCACCAATGATACTTCATTCACATCTGATCCTACCATGCCTTCCATGGATGCATTGAATGCAGCCAAGGTAGAGGTGGAAAGGTAATGGCAGGTACTTAGATTGAGAATAGCATGGTCAGCAGCTCTACTTCCTCTTCCATGGCTTATTCCTCCCATAATGTATAGGTAATTCTAACAAACCTTGGAGCATCAACTCAGAAAGCTCTGATCATATGACCAATATATCTACTTTATTTCATTCCTATTAGTTGTGTTTGGATAGGATAAAGTCTCTATAGTTTTTTTTTATCAATAACAACTTCAGCAAATTTATTAAATATCACAAGAATAGTTACAGTAAGGAAGACAAACACTCTTATCTTCCAAAAGCAACTTAAGTCCACAAAGAAAGAAAAGGAAAAAGAAGCAATTTAGTTACAACTTAGCCTAAAACTTAAGTCCATTAAGTCTTTATAGTCGATGGGTTTCTTGGTCCTATGTCTGGGAAGCAAGATACTAAAGTGTCTAACGGGCTTACTCTTCCATCTATTTACATGTACCTGTGTTGAGCACTAATTTGTGGTCCTACTAGAAGCTTGAATTGCCTAGTGACATTTCCTAATCATTTTATTTTCCAAGATCTGACATCAAGTAGGATGGTTGGGAGTGGAAATGAGAACAATAAGATTCGCCAACTTGTATTAACTTCTTCTACCTACCAAAGTCGGCAGGGTCTAGTAATGTCATCTATGAGTGTTATTTTTGGAAGGCATCCGTGAGTGTTGATTGGATTATTAGTTGGCGTATCTAATTGGATTTTATTTCATGTATTTCTTTAAGGTCTTCGATTTTGAAAATAAATGAAAAAGTAAATTTATTCCAGAAGAGAAGATTACAAAGGTGGTGATAAGATATCACCCAAAACAAAAGATAAGAAGCCAGCCCAAACAAACTGAAATCAGCCCCTTCTCAATAAAGCCTTGAAAAACAACAAAAAGAAACAACCACCCAACCCTAACCAAAATTCAACACC